TTTAAAAATTGTTTTCTCCGTGAGTGGATACATATAACCTCAGGTTGATTGTCGTGGTTTTAAGTGTTGTTTCATGGTTTTATGACATAAGCGCTTGATGTTATTCACCAATACTTGATTTTGTTTTATATTTTTCAGATTTGAAAGTGTTTATCAATTTCTTTGCTAATTTAAGGCAGAGACCAAAATTTAATAGTTTTACATAATGTTGATGTTTGTCCATGTTGGACTGTTTGGCTTCCCTCTGCTGGTTTTCATGAGAGTGGCCATAATCAGTCACCCCCGCCCTTTTTTTAATATTACATTATTCTTTGCCTTCCTAGGACTTAACAGCAATATTCCAATAATTTACTAATGACTTTCCTTTGGGTCATTAGAAGAAAAATGGTTCCTGTAGAAACAATTTAAATAAATGATAGTGCAGAGACATTTTCCTGGAGGCTACAAAGTGACCTATTGAAATACACTAAATTGTTCTTCTCCATTAGGACATTCAGATCCTCCTTTTATTTCATTTTGGAATGAAAGAATAAATGGGGAACGAATATGCTCTGAGATCCTCTGTCCTGCTCTAGAGCATATAAATAGCATCTCACACAAAAAATTTCCAAGATGTCAGGAACAAGGCAAGTATGATAATTTAAGATAATTAAAATTCTTAAGATGAGCAAAATAGAATGGATTCTAGTAAGCTTTTCTCACTCAAAGGAAACTTCTTTAAAATGTAGTTACTGATCTAAATGTCTTTCAATAAGGCAATTAAAAAATGTGGTATAACAATTCAAACCATGGAATATTTTGCAGCCTTTAAAAAAGAAGAAAGCAAACCTATGTGTATGGATATAGAACGATATACATGGTTGTCCTAAATTAGAAAAATTATGAATAATGCATATACTGTGATCCCATTCATATAAAAAATAGCAGAATCACAAGTGAAATATATACAAAGGAGAGGAGATTGGAAAGATACACATACATCAAACTGCAGTCAATGTTGTGCATTGAAAGCTTTAGTTTCTATGTCTGTTTCTTCCACCAGGTTATGTGTTCCTTGGTTACCAGATCAAATAAATGGATGCCCAGTTAGATTTTTTTTAATGTTTTCTTTATTTTCGAGAGAGAGACAGTGTGAGCAGTGAAGAGACAGAGAGAAGGGGAGATACAGAATCTGAACCAGGCTCCAGGCTCTGAGCTGTCAGCACAGAGCCTGATGTGGGGCTCCAACCCACAAACCATGAGATTATGACCTGAGCCGAAAGGGGGTGCTCACCAACTAAACCACCCAGGCGCCCCCCAGTTAACTTAGAATTTCAAGTGGAACGGATTTTTTTAAGTACATCTCAAATATTACACAGGACATACTTAATACTAAAATATTATTCATTATTTATCTGAAATTGAAATTTTTATTTTTTTATTTGTGAATTCTGGCATTTCTACTTTAAGGAGACCATAAACCATTCATCCTTGTACTCCTATCATTAGCATATTTACAGATATATAGTGGTTGCACAATAACTCATGAGAGGGAGAATAATTAAGGAGAGCACAATAATAAAGGCAATTTTGCTAAGTGTGTTACATACATTATCTCAATTCTAATGGAAATGCCTTAAAGTTTTCTTAGTGGTCATATTTTACAGATTAAGGAACAGAGGTATACAAAAGTCACACAGTAAATGGAGGAGCTAGAAATGACCCCAAGTTTCTGGGTCCTGATTCAGCAGCCATAACCAAGTGCCAGCTGCAGGGAGGAAAAGAGAGAAAAGAAGGGGAAAAAGAACCAGGGGCGAGGCTTTGATTTTGCCTAAGTGTAGCTGAGCAGGCCTACACAAAGTCTTTAACCTTGCTAGAGGTGGAATGTGGGATATGTAGGAGAGGCAGATAAATCTGGGCCTTGTCCCCATATCCACCACGCATTAGAACAAGTTACATAATTTATTTTTGCCTCAATTTCTTGCCCGTACAACTGGAGTAAGAACACCTGAGTACTGACACGATGAATAAAGGAGATAATTTCTGTAAAGTGATCAGCACAGGGCTTGGCCAGTGAAAGAACACTAAGTCAATGCTAGTTATTCTTGGCCCAGAACCCCAGTTTTTTCATTTAAAAAAACCCCCAAAACAGAATAACAACATCAATAAAAAGACAGTGATATGAATAATATCAATATTGCCAAGTTGATTTGAGGATCAGATGAGAAATATGTATTATCTCTCTAAATTCTAAAGTGCTTCTCTTTCTCCTCAACAGAGTACTTGCTCTTCAGATCAGAATCAGAATCAATGTCATGCCAGAACATTATTACAATGTTTCCCCTGAGTAATTCATTTTGTTTTAAAAATTATCATACAGTAAAATCGACTCTTTTCGGTAAAGTTTTATGAATTTTAAACCATGTACAGATTCATGTAACCACTACCACAGTCCAGATACAGAACATGACTCTAGCTTTTGAGATTCTTTTTTCAAAGCATTTCACATTCTTGTTGCAAAACAGTTTTAAAAAGAAGAAAAAAAAAGAATTTAGATAACTGTGAAGATACGAATTAACAAGACTGGCTTTTTGTACAAATCACTGCAGTCTCCAACACCTCTAGGCCTTGTCTGGGCCATTTTTGCTGTTGACTCTGCAGACTGTTTCCACCAAAGTAATCAGGAATCAGGTTGAGAATCGGGGCATTTCTTCCGGCTAAAGGCACATGTCACAGGCCCAAACTTCAGCATTCCCTATTTGCTCCTTTTTATATTATCTTCCAGATCTTAATTTTCCCAACTATTTCCTCTAATTGCCATTCTCTCTCTAAAATGAAGAAGACTGGAATGCCAGCACCTTCTCATCCCTTCAGGACAATTATTGGACAGAGTTATTCAGAGAGCAACGCTGGACCCCTCAGGACCCTAAACCTCTGGGCTATAACAGATTCTCCAGGTAACAATCTATCCCTTTTCCATCCTCTCCACCTCCCCAGCCTGCCAGGCACTCCCAGGGAGGACAGACATCTGGACCAAACTTCCCTCCTCCAAGGGCCGCCCACGTCCCATCCCCCATCTCGTGGGCTCTCCCATCTTAAGGGACTTGCACTGACACACCGCTGCCACATCCGCTTTCTGGGTGACTCAAGTCATTGCTATTTGCCTTTTCTTTCTAGCATGCTTTGGCTGCTGTTTTCTTCCCTCTGCTTTTAATTTGGGGAGGAGAAAAGCTAATGAACCAAGAACGAATCTCCTCTCCACGAATCCTTTCCCCCCTTAAAGTTGGCTCTCAAGTTCCGTAACTATCCTAGAAGTGCGGGGGCGGGACAGGTGGGGATGCATTAATTACACCTAAACCTTAAATTGGCATGTAACGTTATCACTCGGGTGGGAAGACTTTCTGAAGCTCCCTTGCAGCTTGCTGGGCATTTTGCTGCTGCCGCTGTACATTTTCTGCTCATTTCTTAATGCTGCTGCTTCATGCGCTTCTGTCACCCCTAAATCTATCTCTACGGCCCAAGATGCCCAAATCAGGGTGAATTCCACGAGATTCACCAGCGGTTTTCTTCCTGTCCAAGGTAAATACATTATGCAAAATGAGGAACCACCAAAGGATGCAGGCTAAGGGGGAGAGAAAGGGATTCCCTCACCTTTCCTGGCACATCTCTCGTTAATTTCCACCGGAAGGAGGCGCGCGGCCCAGATCCCCCCAGTCTCCTTTCTTAAATCCCCCAACCGAGGGCTGCAAAGGTTGGCGGCGCGGCGGGAGAAGTCCCTCTAGCAGGCCTGGCTCTCCCCCGCCCCCAGGGTTGGTTTTTCCCAGCTGCGGAGGTTGGGCCAGGGGCAGGGGTGCGAGGAGAGTCGGCGCCCGCTGCGCGGAGCCGGGAAGTCGCCGCGACTCCGGTGAGACTCAGAGTTGTCTCCGGAGGTGACGGGCGCGGAGGTGAGCGGTGGGGAGCAAGCGGCGACGGCGAAAACGCGGAGGCTGCGCTGTGGCCCCTTACCATCTTTTGAAGGGATAGTAGCGTAGGTCCAGGGTCCCACCGCCGCTTTGTTCGCAGCCTCTCCCTAAGGTACTCTTCGGAGATGACTTGAACCCCCTCTGGGATCCGAGGGTCTGGCTGGGGCGAGGGGGGGGGGGGGGGGGGGGAGCGACAGCTGTTAGGTCCTCCATTTCCTGCTAATCCGGGAAGGTACCAAAAGAGATGAAAAGACTCCTGTAACCTGAAACTTCCCTCCGTTCCAAACCTGGACCGGGAGGTGAGGTTCGGGCGGGGGCCCCAGGGAACCCCGGAAGGCAGATCTCCTTGCTTGGGGCAGTGAGAGGACCCGGAACTACAGGAGAGGGAGGGGCTAGGAGAGAGGTTTGGGCAGGGAAGGGCAGGGGATTAAGAAGTTAGACTCGGGGGACGAATCTGATCGGGAAAGAGGAGGGCGGGGGGCTGGAAGAGTGTATATATAGTGTGGGCCTGGGCAGAAGGAAGACTTTACGCTCGGTGTCTCGGGACGCGCGCCCCTCTCCCGGGAAAAGATGTGCGTGGGAGTGGGGGAGGCGAAGCCTGGACGGTGTTTCGGAGGGAGGATCACCATGGGGACAGTGGGGTTGACAGCAGGAGTGGCTCCCGCACTCGGGGAGCTGCGGCCGCCGCCGCTCCTCACGCTTCTCTCCCGCCTGTCCCAGGTCCTGAAGCGGATCGAGCGCGAGGCATAACAAAGAGGCAAAGAGGTGCACCGGGGAAGGGCGGCGGCAGGAAGAGGAGCGGGAGGAAGAGCGCGGAGCTGAACGTCCCGAGCCTCCGTGCGTACCTTTTAGAGGGAAGGGGCGGGGGAATCGGCCCCGGGAGGGGGACGCCGGGTGACGAGGGGTTTAGTCAAGTTCCGGCTGCGGCGTCCCTCCTCTGCTCCCACGAGAGGAAAGTTTTCTCCAGACGCTTCCGGCCGGCCGGCGCCCTCCGGACCAGCTCCCGAGCCTTCGGAGCGGGCGCCGTCCCAGCCCAGCTCCGGGGAAAGCCGCGCCGCGATGCCTGGGGGGTGCTCCCGGGGCCCCGCCGCCGGAGACGGGCGGCTGCGGCTGGCGCGGCTGGCGCTGGTCCTCCTGGGCTGGGTCTCTTCGTCCTCTCTCACTTCCTCGGCGCCCTCCACCTCCTCCACGTCGTTCCTGGCCTCCGCGGTGTCCGCCCAGCCCCCGCTGCCGGGCCAATGCCCCCAGCTTTGCGAGTGCTCCGAGGCGGCGCGCACTGTCAAGTGCGTTAACCGCAACCTGACCGAGGTGCCCGCGGACCTGCCCCCCTACGTGCGCAACCTCTTCCTCACCGGCAATCAGCTGGCCGTGCTCCCCGCCGGCGCCTTCGCCCGCCGGCCGCCGCTGGCGGAGCTGGCCGCGCTCAACCTCAGCGGCAGCCGCCTGCAGGAGGTGCGCGCCGGCGCCTTCGAGCATCTGCCCAGCCTGCGGCAGCTCGACCTCAGCCACAACCCGCTGGCCCACCTCAGCCCCTTCACCTTCTCGGGCAGCAACGCCAGCTTCTCGGCCCCCAGCCCCCTGGTGGAACTGATGCTGAACCACGTCGTGCCCCCTGAGGACCACCGGCAGAACCGGAGCTTCGAGGGTATGGTGGCGGCGTCCCTACGCGCCGGCCATGCGCTTCGCGGGCTCCAGCGCCTCGAACTGGCCAGCAACCACTTCCTCTTCTTGCCTCGGGACGTACTGGCCCACCTACCCGGCCTCAGGCACCTGGACCTGCGCAACAACTCGCTGGTGAGCCTAACTTACGTGTCCTTCCGCAACCTGACACACCTACAAAGCCTCCACCTGGAGGACAACGCCCTCAAGGTCCTTCACAACGGCACCCTGGCGGAGTTGCAGAGCCTGCCCCACGTCAGGGTCTTCCTGGACAACAATCCCTGGGTCTGCGACTGTCACATGGTGGACATGGTGGCCTGGCTCAAGGAGACAGAGGTAGTGCAGGGCAAAGCCAGGCTCGCCTGTGCATTCCCGGAAAAAATGAGGAATCGGGCCCTTTTGGAACTCAACAGCTCCCACCTGGAGTGTGACCCTATCCTCCCTCCATCCCTGCAGACTTCTTATGTCTTTCTAGGTATTGTTTTAGCCCTGATAGGTGCCATTTTCTTACTGGTTTTGTACTTGAACCGCAAGGGGATAAAAAAGTGGATGCATAACATCAGAGATGCCTGCAGGGATCACATGGAAGGGTATCACTACAGATACGAAATCAACGCGGACCCCAGGTTAACAAACCTCAGTTCTAATTCGGATGTCTGAGAAACATTCGAGGACAGCTATGCATGAGATGTAGACTTAAGCTTTATTCTGTCCTAAGCTTGCTCCACTTCCACTCTCCACTATGGACACCACTGACCTTGACTGAAAGCAGTGAAGGGAATTTGCTCCCTTGTTATGTGAAGTGTCTTGGTGTGTCCTGTTAATGTAAGACGGTGAAAAGCTGTGCGTAGTGTTTTATCCTCTTCGTTTTCTTGGAACTCAACTCGTGTGGACGGATTTTTCAAGTTTCAGCATGAACATGGACTCCCGGCTGTCTGTTTCTCTTAGTACAGTTCGAGGGGTAGCCAGTGTACCCGTAACACGGATAGCATTCAACAAGAGCTGCCTCAACTTTTTTGAGAAAAATACTTTATTCATAAATATCAGTTTTATTCTCATGTACATAAATTGTGGAGAAAATAAATGCATTCCATAGACTGCCTGCAGATCTTAGCAAGCTCTTCAAAGTTAACTCCATAGTACACAGGAGCACCTGCATCCGAGAGCATGCTTACATTTTACTGTTCTACTTATTACAGAGAATAACTTGCAACTTCAGATAACTTCTTTGACAAAGTAAATTACTTTTTTGGTTGCAGTTTATATGAAACTGAAGTTTTTTTAATAAACTGCATTGAGATCCAACAGACTAAATTGTTAAGAAAAACTTCAATAAAGATTCTTAAAAGAACTACAGTTGTGTTCAAGTTTGCTATTTGAAATAAAAAGGAGTAGGAGTAATGTCTTCTATAAATAGATTTTGGGAATAGTTTTGAGATGGTGGATCCATTCAGGATTTAAACAGAGTTGAATATTCATGTGATAGACATCTCATGGTCCCAAAGTTAATGCTATTCATGAAGCAATTTTGAAAGAGTGTTATAAAGTTGGTAAGGTAAGAGGGAAGAGTTCTGCATCTTAAACAGCTCACAGTTTGGAGCTTTTTCTAGACTACGTTGTTAGAATGGAACAAAATTATTTGCTTAATAAAACTTTATGTATGAAATTGTTCTGCGGGTTTTTAGAGCAGACCAGGAAACATCTAATGCAAATAAATGTTTCCGAACGAAGTGTCTTAAAGAAACAGAATATCCTAAAATAAAAGACTTAAAAATGTAAATTAAAAAACATTTCCTAAGATCATAATGTAAATTGGAACTTAGATTTTCTTGAGAATATTTTTTCAAAAACATTTAAAATGGAATATACGTGGTCAATAGTTTATCAGAGATCCTGCTTGTATGTTTAGAAAACTGTCATGATAGGCTATGAATTTGAGGCAATAACCACAGATAAATGTCTATGTCCATAAACAAGTGTCTCAACTAATCATAGGTTATGTTCAGTTCAGTATTTAAGAATTTGGGGATATTCCGATTTTGCCTAAGCTCTACATACACCTTTGTGAAGAATAAATCACATTTAAGAGTAAATAAAAGCAATTGGTTAATCAATTGACACTATCAATAATAGACAAGATTTTCTTTTGCTCAGTTTGTTATGAGCCAATTAAACCTAAAAGTAAATTCCATTAATCTCCAAGCTATTATATACAGTGACTTAAATTTAGTTGTTATTACTTTACATACAGTGTAGGTAAACTTGTATCAGTAAGTCTCAGGGCCTTCTTTCTCTTTAAATTGATTATGTTTTACAGTGTTTTATATTTGAAATAAAATTTCCATTTCCATATTTTTATAAATGAAATTGGAATGTAGAACTTTAGGTTCTAGTGGTCTTTGCCTATTTCTTCTCTGAGTTAAACTGGGAAGTTTTCAAAATAGGGCTAAAGATGTATGAATCTGTTCCTTGTTTAGACTCTAGTTGGAATATGAAGTTTTAACTATATTAACTTTCATAAGGCTCATTTTATGAAATATTACAGTATTTATTACTTACAGGTTCTATTTCAGATCCTATAACTAATCACCCGAGAAAAGGTTAAATATACGGTACTAAATATTCCATTAAACATTTTAAGTGTTCACCAGGAATTCATAAACTGGCTGGCTGCCATTATTTCCTAGGAATGATGAAGATATTAGCCTGCCAAAAATAGTGAAAGCATCTAATAAATAAGGGCACACACACCATGTTAGAAGTAGGCTACTGATGGACTTTCACTGGGAAGTCTGCTGCTGCTGTGGAAAACAAATTGTAATACTTATAGTCTATTTAGAAGAATTCTTTAGTCCTCATATAATAACCTGTTAAAAACTGAGCTGTATCTAAGATCCAGGGAAGCAGTAAATTCATTAGTTTTTCTCATCTACTCACTGAAGCAAGATCTGGAGTAAAGTGAAGCTGTTTTCACTTTAGGTGGATGGCTTTTTTGAAGTTAACGATTTCTTGCTTCTTTTTCATCCCCTTGTTTCTTCCTTTGTGTGAACTTCCCAATTTGCTACTGCTCCCTTTTCTGTCACATCACTCCTTGCTATTCTCCAATACATGGCAAATAGAACGTTCTTCTGACAAAAAATATTACTCTTTGGAAACAATTGCTATTGTGCAGTCATAATACTCGAAGTCTATAACTTCCAAGGTAGTCTGAGATAAATCCAATATGTATAAGTGAATAGAAAAATGAAATAAAAGTATCGTCACTTTATTTAAGCGTACTTGTTTTAAAAGCGGATCTTTAGTACCATTATGCATTACTAATCCTAGAAACCTGTAAGTGATCCATTTAAAAGAAACTATTTTGGTTGGTAATATACTTTATTACTCAGCTTGAAACAAAGCTGTTTCAGCAAAACCATCCTTCATTTATCCTTTACAAGTTTCTTTTGAAGGAAGTTAGAAAATACTTAAAAATTTAAGCACTTGATAAATTCCTCCATTTAAAAAGCTATTAAAATGTCCAATACATTTCTATTTAAAGTGCAAGATTTTAGGATAATACACTATTTGACCCTGAATTGCAGCTGCCTCCTTTCAATGTAATCATTCAGTTTGATACATTAATATGTGTATACATCATCAATTTTGCTGCCTGGTGTGATTCGATGGTGACCTGTAAGGCACATTTGTACCTTATGGCTGAAGGATTTTTCCCACAAAACCAGGAGAATTTGAAGCATAGTCAATAAAAATTTTTAAGGAAAAGGAGCTACATAAATTGATACTATCAATAATAGACAAGATTTTCTTTCTTTCTTTTTTTTTCCCAGAAGTGAGGAAAGGCTTGGTTGAAATAAATGAGCAAATCACAAGTGGTAAATCCTTTAAATTATCTTGATTGGCAGAAAATTTGGATTATGCTCAATATTTAATTAGAAATAACATACCTTTGTTTTCTGTCTTTTAACATAAATTAGATGTTAGAAAAAAAGAAAGAAGGAAGGAAGTTCCAAATGAACTGTGATTGTTTCCTTATGGATTCCGTTTTACTCTGTCCCTTTTGGTTAATGTTCCAATATGGGCTTACCTTCTTGAGGACATTCCAGCCTTTGCAGCTCTAGGTTGGAGTTTTTTCGTATCATTTCTGCTTTCCATTTAAGTTTTTCTCCAAAGAGTACACTAAAAGAGACAACCATGAGGATGTGCAAGGTTAAAAACAATTTGGCACGTGCTTTCTTCTTGCTCCCAAATCCATTTAGTCATCCAGCCTTCATAGAGCAGCACCATAAAGTGAAGACTGACATTTTTTAGATGAGATTCAGGTTTCACTTTTATATTTGTGTGAGTATTTTTCACAGTAAAGGAGAGGGAAGAGAGGAAATTATATTTCTAGATAATAAATGAAAAATACCTTCACAATGCCTTTTTAAAATCTTTCAGTAATATTGCAGTGCTGCATTAGAAATAATTAAGAAAACATATTCTGTATTGTCAGGTGATCCTGTCTTCTTTTAGCTGGAGAAAAACAGCTCCTCGAGGATGTTTTGGACAGTTCTTATCCTTACCCATTTTTATCCGTTCTTATCCTTACAAATGATTCAGAAACTCAAGCTGGCTTCATTTGTTTTTTATCTTAAAACATGGTCATGGTTAAAAAAAATCTAGAGTTTAAAAAATATTTAATTTGTGTTGATGCAATTTTGACAAGAGTAAGAACTCCTAGTGTTTCAAAATGGGAGGAGTTTTAGATGTGTGAAGCCCAATTTCCTATTCTATAAATGAAGAAACTAATAATTGTGATATATCATTATGTTATATATTGACAACTAGGATTAGATATCAGGGTTCCTGACTCCCCTTCTAATATTCTTTTTGTTACATGATGGCATCACTAATTACCTACCTTTAGACCTTTGGAATTCCCATGTTTAACATAAAAAGGCAATTGCTATGAATTTGTCTCATTGTTTTTGCTTTGCACTTATTAAATATGTTTTGGTTTGATCTAAATTTCACTTCCACTGTGTTAAAAATTGCTATGTTTCAGGCCCCTGAATATGCCTTAAATATGTTTTGAGATAATTTTTTCACAGGAATCTTATTACTTTTAAAGCTCCTTGAGTCTATGATAGGAAATATTTTGGAAATGTAATAGTGGTGTTTCTTTTGAAAAGAAAAATAAAACTGGAAAGCTGTGCTAGCTTGTGTAATTCTATCTTAAAAAATGAGTTAGCTCAGCTGGTGAGAACACTAAACAAATGAGACCAAGTTCATGACCATGGAGACAGTCCGTTTTGCATGCTCCGGTCTGTGCCTGTTCCAGGTGCATGCTGCAACCCTTCCTTTGAGGGCCTGGACCTAAAGGGACTCTAAATCAATGCAAATTTGTGTCACCCAGGACAACCAGTGGACTGATGGGCCAAACCCTGGCAGCTGTACTGCTGCTGTGTTAGTTTACCGTCTTTACCTACGCAGGACCAAACATGACCGTCCCCATGCCCTTGCTGTAGTATGTATGCCACAGATCACAAAAGGTTTCTCATTTATGTGACTTTTAAGAAAAATCTCTCATGACTGCCTTTTACTACATCACAAGGGAAATAGGTTTGCTTTGCTATTTGAAATGAAAATGTGGTTTAAGATTCAGGATCACGATTACT